AGGAAGAGCAACAGAAATTCAGCTCACTCAAAAGTAACAGAGCTGGAGGTTTATATCAGAGAAAATAATAATAATTTCTCTTACTTATGAAGAGCTTTTCAACCAGAAGAATCCCCAAAGCACTTTAAACATAGGAGGGCTGATTTTACGGAGCTGTGAAGTGCAGCCCTCCAGGTGATGTACAGTACTAGGGTGACCATAGTTTGGTTTTCAAAAAAGAGGACAGGGGGATAATCGACACTCGACACATGCCTCCAAAGTAACGAATCTTTATTACTTTTTCTAATCCAAAAATCAGCTTAAACTCTCTAGTTTTTATTTAACTTCTTAGCAAGCTCTTAAACAGTTGTAGGGTTGCCATTTCTCTTCCATACCGCCAAACAAGGAAAAATAAACAATTTTAAACTTAGCTATTTTTTCCATTTTAACACAACAAAAGTCTTTACATCGGAGGAAAAAATGAAGACATCATAACTTAGGAGACCTCCTCATTGGTTGCAAAAATTATCAATTTTAACTAAACATTTTGAAATATAATGAAACAAGTTAAACATTGTTATTTCTCATATCCTTAAAAACAGCCACACACACACAAAAACCCTTTTCAAGCTACACTGCGTACGCTGCATGCAAGTTCAAAACATCTACTGGTAATGCATAGAATGAACGAAAATATGCAGGCCTTTGTGTGTTTACAGTCTGAATAATGAGCAAAACAAAATCCTGACAATTCTTGGAATTTTATAAATCCCGATCAGACCAATATTTTAGGTCTCAAATAGAGGACATGTCTGGGAAAAAGAGGACGTCTGGTCACCCTAAATATACAGCAGCCATTCTGGACCAGAGGCCCAGTGCACTGGAGATCAGGGTGAGCAGTGAGAGGTTACTTCACCCATTGAATTATGGGGGAACGTCAGAGAAAACGGACATGTACAACCCCACAGGTGAAATCAGCCAGTGCCAAGAGATCTAATCAGTCAGGCCAAAGAGCAGTCAGAGCAAAGAACACAAAGTGCAAAACCTGAAAAATGGTTGAAGATGAGATGTACAATTCTTACTGATCCTGAAATACAGAGCAGAAATAACTCCCTTCCTATTGTTGGACACATTAGTATTTCTATGTCTAACAAAACATTGGAATTGTACTGGCTATGGGGTGGGCATGTGTACAGTCAGCAGTCAGTCTTTTACCTAAGGCGTGAGAACGGCAACCCTTATCATAAGGCAAATAACCCGTACCTTTCTGTAGCTGCTGATGACGTTTCATTGTTATACTGTACAATATAATGTTCCACCATAAATTCCTTCTTTAATACCACATGCTAATCTCAACATTGCATTTACCAAGTCACACAACTAATGATCAACAAAAATGCTGGCTCAAAGAAACTAAAACAAAATAAGCCCAAATATATATGAAGATTAAGGGCTTTGAGTGCCCAATCAGCTAAATACAGTACCTGCATAGCAGAACTACGCACGACACCTTTCCTTTCATTTATTCTGCAGTTACACCACTTTGCAGCTATTTTACATAATATAATTAAGTTCAAGAAACCTTCATTACAGAGCTTTTTTTTAAATCAAAGTCCATTATTAACTACCTAAATAAGCTTTTTCAGCATGTCTGAAGTACAGTATGTAGAAACAGGCACCACACTAGTGAAGCACACAGTTACGGAGTATGAATGGAGGGACTGAGTACAAGATCACATTACAACAGCTCTCTTCAGAATCTGACACCACAGAAGACCTTCTGCATCTCCATTTTCGCCCTTCAGCCTGTGGCCAGGCGACACAGGACTCAAGGGTTTAGGAGCTGGAGACAGCGCCTCATGGCTACTGTAGATGAACAGCTTCCATTCCTTTCAAGGTTTCTGACTCAGCCTAAAAAATAAAATCACCTATCAGAACGTGGAGCAAGAAAGCAACGGAATAAAAGAAAATACAGGTGGCATAGATTGCTCCTTTAAATCCAGTGCGAGTGCAAATATCCGTGAAGAAAATGACTATCTGGCCCAAGGCAGACCAGTGAGTGGGATATACAGTACGTAATATTGATCTAAGTCCTTACAATAACCAAACAACAAAATCAAAGATGAAAATCAATTACGTTGCAAACCTATATTGAAGTTCTGCATAGAAGGTTGCCGTGACAGTTTTCCCGTTATGCTATAAAGCGTGTTATCGAAAGAAAAGCTGTTTTGATATCTTCCTTTCCAACCCTGCTTGCTTTAAAAGAAGCACTTCTCTGCTACAGCAGGAGCAGCACAGAACACAGGCACAGACATTCCAGGGACTGAGAGGCTATGCAAGTCCATATTTTTACCTGCTTTTACCCAATTATTTGGTTTCTTTAGTTCTCATTAGGAAACCTGTCCAATAATTAATCAATTCTTCAATTATTGTTATATAAAAACAATCCAGAATCACATCAGGAAAAGAGACCATTTTATGACAAGATATTTACAGAATGACCCTTCCTGGTCAATTCTCGGTACATGCTCTTCTGAGAGTCAATATTTTGCTTTTTGTTCTTTTTTGGTGGTCTACTTTCTGTCAGGCTCTGTGACAAACTACAGTACAACATAAGTCAATCACAGACCGTTGTCTAATAATAAATCCTTACACTTATACAGCGCTTTTCTGGACACTCCACTCAAAGCACTTTACAGGTAATGGGGACCCCCCCCACCCCACCAGTGTGCAGCCCCACCTGGATGATGCGACAGCAGCCAAAGTGCACCAGTACTCTCCCCACACACCAGCTCTCAGTGAGGAAGAGAACAGAGTGATGAAGCCAGTTCATAGATGGGGATTATTAGGAGGCCAGGGGGCAATTTGACCAGGACATCAGGATTAACATCCCTACTCTTTTTCGAGAGAATTGTTGTTATAATAATATATTTCTCCAGTGCCAACCATAATACTTTTGGGGAAAGATTCAAATAGAATATCCTCCCGGACGCAATACTGCACGCATGGCTGGGTAGGATTTAAACCGCCAAAACAGATTAAAACTAGAAAAACATTCCTCAAAGACTTAAAACTCACTGCAATGAATAAGGACTTCGCAGCGTGTTTTGCCGCTTTGGGTTCGCAGCGGCGTGCAGAAATCCCACAAACGACACTAAGCACATCGTGCCACGGGCCTGCCAGTAACTTGGATTTTGCTTTTACAAAACTGACGGATTTCCGCGAGTTTCACTGCCACGATGGTCAACGTGGTGAAGCTGAGGACCGCTTTCCCCTTTAAGAGTGCCGACGTAAGATCCTGACAGCGGCGTCCGGAGAGAGGCAGCCAATGAGAGACGGCAGCCATGCGGAAGTGGACCGCCCCCGGAGCACAGAGCTGCTGATTTAAGAGGAGCTGGCGGGAACCTGACTCCCTGCACTAACTGTACTTTGTTGCCGATGTCTTTCACGGAGACAAAATAAATTAAATGATTTATACAGATGCTTGTAACGCATGTACAGAAGCTTTACTCCCAGTTCAGTTTGATTTTGACAGTGTGTGAGTGTGACTTGGAAACCAGAAATAAGAGTCATCTGCACTCACCACGTACATGTCACGTACAAGGAAAATACTCCGGTATACTTGGTGCTGCAAACACATTCGACATAAACCATACACAAGCAGGACTAACAGGCTTCATTAAGACAAGGCACATGTAATTAGGAATTCTGGCTAGACAAAAAGACGGCAAGAGGAAGAAAGTACATATCCGTTAGGGAATCACAGGACAGTTAATTCAGTGCGATATATTTTTAAGTTTCAAAGGAGCTTTCAGTACAAAAGGTGGCAGTAGCCAAGACTTGCAGCCCTGTCGCTGCCAGGGAGGGTGTAAAGAGTCGGACCAAAACTTAATTCTGACTTAGTCAATTAGAGACGACTGTAGACGTGGGGATGATGTGGAGATGGCTTTTCAGCTCCTGGGGGCTAACAGGTCAGACATTTTCAGCTAAACTGTGGCATCTACAGTAGTTTCAGGTCCATTTCGAGGCTGGGGGTAGGGTAGGTTCCAGGCACCTGACACAGCATTGGGCTACTGTTTGGTTTTGGGTTAGAGTGCCCCTTAAATTTAACTTCAGCTAACATCATGGCTACATTTTTAAGAATAGATGAAAAATTCAGATGGAGTTACAGTTTTTTACTTCCCTATGCCTGCTTGTGGCCTTATGTTTTATACATGTTAGTAAAAGCCCTAACAATCACCAGAATGCTGAATCAAGCCATACAGAGGCCTCAAACACTCAAGTTATTTAAACCATTTGAAACATAACCATAACAACACCTCATCTCCAAGAAATCCTAACCCTAACCCTAAACCAGGTCTGAATGAAATCCACCACTGTCTTTCATTAAAGCCTTAAATTTCCTTCAAAAGCAAAAATATTACTTTACAGAAATTCAGTAGAGCTCTTAACACCAGTTCCCTGCATCAACCCATTCCCTAAATTAATCTGAAACACTGGCACTCCAAACCTTCTGGAGATTCGTGTTAATATTAACAATTAATATCAAGTCACCGTGCTCTTAGATAACTCCTTTGCGTATCTGCACTGAGCAGAACAAATATATTACCGGTCTCTGCTTTTGAAAATGAAGCAGTTTAAATCCCCTTCACAGACCACATTTAATAAACCGTCCAATGTTAATCATACATTTCTTCACTGTGACTACACACCCACGAACCCTCGATTTCGGTTATGTTACGTGTAGCACAAATAAAAAGCAATGGGTTGTTGTTTTTTCAAAGAAAATCAATAACACCACTTGCAGTGGCAGAGAAAGCGTGTTTTGAAACTGCCATACTGAAACTTGTTAGTGCACATTAGGCGTCAACCCGCTGTCCTACGGTGAAGAAGGAACAGCGAGAATTAAGAATGAGGTTCTGACGATGTATTCAGATGATGCTGGTTGTGACTTTTAGAATCAATTCTGGAGGATATCCAAGAGTACTTAACTGCCTATGTCGTCTCTCGGGGATACTTGCCTGGTTTCCAAAGACGCCGATGGAGCACGCCGTGGACACTTCACGCGAGCCGAACCACACCGAGGCGATCCGGGACGGCATCCCGAGAATAAAGACCTGGGCCAGCGAGCAGGTGAACTGTCCCAACATCGTCACCCCGAACAGGTCGGGTCTGACGCTCGCCACCTTGATCCACGTCCCCACGCAGTTCAGGGCGGACCCGGCCAGAGCTATGACCCGCAGCCCCTTCTTATCCAACAGCCACGTAACGGGGAATATGAAAGGGATGTAGGTCAGCATGTAGATCATGGACATCCAGTCGATGGTGAAGGAGTCCACGTTGTAGAACTTCATGAAGATGTTATTGATGATGCCGTACTGGATCCACTGAAACGCATTGCAGAGAGAGTAAGAACTGAACAGACAGACGATGAACCATCGCCTTCGGTACAGGTGGGTAGCTAGGGAGCCATCCTCGTTCCCATTGGGGAGTTTCTGGACGTCAGCCGGAGATTTGGGGTCATGAATGATTTTTGCTTTTTCCAGATCCGAAGCATCTTTCTCGGAGGCAGGCGTCTCGTTCATGTTTCTCGGTCAGTTCGATTTTTTTCCCCCTTGATTTCTGGGACCCGGAAACCTTTTCAGGAAGAGCCCTGTAGTATTTTCTATGAATGTCTCTCTGAGAAAGAACACCACGGCTGTTAGGAGATACACAGTTATCTCATGCTAGACGTTTTACTGCACACCGGTTGAGCAAACGGGAAAGAAGATATCGGTTGTGAGAATCAAGGTCCGACAAAAACCCGAAGATAAACTCGTTGTTTTGTTACCCGTCAGATCCTTTGATCTTCAGTAACACCAGCAGTTCTCCTTTTTGGGGAAAAAGTCACGTGCGGGTGCACTTCAGTTTCTTCTTTGGCTATATGACGAGTTGTTTTTTTATATTAGCTACCTGATATTGCGGCTTAAAAACAATACGTTCGGTTTGTTTGAAGGACAGCACGTACTTTGTTACCAAAATCGCTAACCTAATCGTAAAAAAATAAGAACAAACTTGGCAACTTTATGACAAAGGAGAAACTTTTCAGGACTTCCTTATGATGCAGAAATCGGAGCCACATGATGATGGTAAGTCATCATTACAGTTGTGTTGCGGCATGCTGATCCCTTTAGGGACTGAAAGTACAAAAAGACAGCCTTACTAGTCCAAATCCCGTCGGGAAAAAAAAATAAGTCTTCAAACTTCAGAGCGGTCATGCTCCGGCCTCCAATGTAAACGCCGGCTTCCTACAACCACGTGGTGTAGAAGCTCCACCCTGCGAACTTTAACCAATAGTTGTTAAAAGACATCGCTCTGAGCTCGTACGGTGGAGTTATCCTTATCTGTAATATTCTCAGAAATGAATAGATTTTGAAATAGGCAAATATACGAGACAGGGGAAATAGACTGTATACAACAGATAGGTTACACTGAGAGCAGATGCAAAATCCTAAACATCCACAGTGTCGAAAAGATATTTAAATGAGAATTGTAGAGATCTCAACGAATGGAGATTAGATTGCCTTGTTTTCCTTTTCATAGTCCGTTCAGATGATTCCCTCCGAACTAATGGAATGCATTGCCTTGTTAGCTCGTAGACTTTCTTCAATGTTTACAGGGGGCTCGGTCCCATCTGCAGTTCAGTACTCGAGACGATTTGCAGAAGGAAGACCGCGACAGCTCCAACCAACGCGCCAATGCACTGAAATTCTGGATCTCGGAAATCAAGCTAAAATAAGACCCTGCGCCTCCGTTTGTACCACACTGTCAGATTCACTTCATTCTTTCAGATGAATAAATTAAGCGCTGCCTCGTCGGCATGCTCACTGCCTCGAGGTGAATTTGCTTACAACGCCTATCCCGCTGTTGTTCTTTGGTAGACTTTTATCTTATGAAACTGAAGATTAAGCGGCGATGATCTGAAAATGTCCTTTGTCACATTCCTCTGGTGACTAGTACGCACTCTGTCATAAAATGTGCAAACGTGTTTTTTTTTAAGTTAAAAAATGTTTTAAAGGTATTTTCACAGAAAAATTATGTTGTTTTTTTTTTTTGTTTCACAGTTCCGGTAAAGGGCAGGCCAGCTATTTTATTCAATTAAGTCAAGTTTGTTTTGTCACTTTGTTTCCAATTTGTGTTCAGCCTTTGCCCATTTAGAGAAACACTGCATTCAGTTTGCCAGACGGAAATGATCAACACAATCCATAGCTGTTATCCTCTAAATCCTTCTACAGTTCTCCTGTGACAAGAACTTGAATAGCCACTGCACACGTGAGAGAACTCCCTTTAGTTGCATTCTTAGTAGTAGATTGTCATCGAAACACGTGGTTGACCTTATCATAGCAAACTAATGGGATTTTAAGTCATCTGTGGCGGCTGGTGGTCCTATGACAACCAAGCAATAACCAGTCAGATCGGTGACGTACTAGCAAAATACATTTTAATCTTTTCCAAAGCGACGTGGATCATTTCCTTATCAATCTGCTATTGCTGTTCTCCTCTCCTGAGGTGTCTATGTAGGGGAGACACACGTGATACGAGACAGGTGTTGTAAAAATAAAATACTAGGACAATGCTGAGAAGCGCTGCTTTCAAAGAAAACCGATGAAAATGTTTCATTAATAGAGAATGCTTAAACGGTGTCTTTAAATCCTTTGCGGTGCTAAGCTAATATTCCTCTTGCGACGAAATCGTGTTTTGTTCTACTGAAATCAACCTCCAGGGGGAGCTGTTTTCCTTTCTTTCACCTTTATTTTGAAAACCACAAGCCGCAAATACAAAATGTCATTTAGTTTTCATTTATCACAATGTTTTGAAATATTTTAACGTAAATGTTACCTCAGCAAAATAAAAGATTTTGATGCTCATAAACACTATAAAAATACATTCATATTTGTTAGACAATCAAAACGGAATACTGGCACTGAGTTCACCTGACGGTATAGAGCGACATCTGACGAATAATCACGGGCTTTCTATAAATACATTTTCAGTATACAGTATACATAAACCTCTTAACTACTTTTGCAACCATGTCTAAGCAGCAGCATTTTAAACTTTTCAGAGAAAAATTAAGGATTTTCTCCACTGTGTCGTGATGGCAGTATATTTAAACATGCTGCTTTGTACAGAAAGAACAAAACAAAAAAATAAATTCCAAAGTCTTTTTTTCTGTTTGCTTTTAACAAAAATAAAAATCAATTCTCTTCTGGACAAAATAATAAAAGCGTGTATATACAAAAGACTGTAAAACTACAACTCCCACATTCATTTGAGCGGATACAGACATCGAAATAAATATGACACTTAAATCTTAAAATGACCTTGTATGTAAAAGTGAGCAGAATATTACTCCTTAGAATGTGATGTTTTCCAGGTCTTACGAGACTTAGCTAAAGAAAACTTCCTTCCGAGTTTTCTGGATTGTGAACAAATGTAAGTCGCTTATTGATGGGGGAAAATGTGAAGACCAAGTACTGGCGATTTGGTAGATAAGATAGCAGTCTAGTTATCATCTGTATCACGATGATATCAAGACCTCAGACATCATGTCCTTAATGGACACAAGTCCTAGGAATAAAACATGACATGTGCCAAAAGTTTTTTTCTAAAAAAATAGAGGTCTACAAAAGTAATATAAATGTCAAGGACTTGTATGTCCAACTGGACACTGCTATTCACGTTAGTTTTGCAAAATCAAAACGCGCATCTCGTAAAATATTCCAGGTATCGCAAAAATCTTTCCGCAGTTTTCTACGTTCAGAGGTAACAACCGCAGCTCCATATTTACCTTTTCTGTCCTACAACGGATGGAGGAGAGGTAGGCTTTAATACAAAATACAATATTTTCTTTTCTAGCAGAGCTTAAAATTTACTGTCGCGTATTCAAAAATAGAATGAGTCGACATTATTTTAAATTACGTTTCTCTATCAAACATTCTTTTATGATGAATGCAACATTCAGAAAAAAACGATCTCTGTCCAAACTGTCCACTAACACAGTTTACGTTTTTAAATTTTACACACAAAAAGCTTACATGTATGGAGTATCTATGGCATAATGAATTACCGTGGCAGTCAGCTGTGTGGATGTGTGCACCCTCGCAAAGAGAATTTTCCCCGGTCTGTACCATAGCTCACTGTTTTCAAGGTACTGAATACCTTTGTTACCTCACTACAAAACTAAACGGATTCAAAGTCCAGAATGGAAAACATGCTACCACTAGGGGGCAGAGTACAAAAAAAAATAAACAACAGCGGGCGACATCCAAATACACTACTAGCTAGTGACATCTTGAAAGAAGTACGCACAGCGCATGTTAGTCTCTCAGTTAAAACGTTGTATACATTCATTTTCAAGGAAAGATTAGTTACATTTAAAAATCCATTAAAATTCCGTAACATGTTAAGCAGTCAAGTTGCTATTGCTCGTTTGATCGGAATAAAGTGTTAACTTAAAAACGAACACAAAACCATACCAAAATACTAGATATAGGTAGGTTCATATTAAGTCATTTCTACCTGTACCTAGGAAATTCGGTTTCATAATCGCCCTTTAAAATCAAGGATTACGACAATAAGCATCTTTCCTGTGGTTGTTTTTTTTCCTCAAGCACAAAGTCATGGCTCGTTAGCACAGATTTACACGAAAACGTGCTGTAAACGACGAGGCTAGGGATCACCTTTTCTAACCTGAGGGACGCGCTCAGCTCCATTAAGAGACGCGGGCTTTTTAAGACGAAAGAGGACGGGGCGGGTGGGTTTGACTCTGACAGTAGGCACAAACTACAGACTCAACACATCTTCATTCACAACGACCCTTAACAGGACAACAGGTCGACAGCCCCACCCCCCCACCCCCCACGCCTCAGTCGCCGTCAGTGCTGAAAGCGTGGCGAGGTGATGTGGGGTTGATGAAAGGCGCCGTGGGGCGAGTAGAGTATTTCGGAGGGCTGGGAGCTCAGGGCGGAGCAGAAGGGCTCGTGGTTGCTTAGCACCGTGGACAGATGTTTGGCCTCTTCGGTCAACCTCTGGACTTCCTTGCGCAGAGCCGCGTTCTCCTTCTCCAGATTTTCGCTCTCCTGGAAAGGAAAAAAAACAACAATGGCGGGGCCCCCATCAAAGATGGCTGAAGTCTCCGTAAGACCTCCAGAAAACCCAAGTTCATTTACAGTTACAAGCCCCCCCGAAGAGATGAACAAAGGAGGATACGGGATGTACATGTGTTACATCAATACCATGTTATCAATTGGTTCTCGTTTTGCTCGTTGCTGGCATCTGCTTCTAAACTAGAATTACACTGCACCAATACTGGTTAACAACAGACCTCCAGCCATTCCTACAGTAGGAATCTGTTCCCTCAGAGTTTGTAATTACTGACTAAATCGTCTATCACTTCCTGTCCTATAATTCGAGACTGGAGAGGTGAACTAAAGCACTGCAAGGCAATTCTGTGTGTGTTGCTGTCCGCCTGTGCTACATTGTTGTGTGTTTCATAAATCCAGAATCTGGGAGATGATAGTGCATCAAGAATACGTAGGTATTATTAATCAGATGAATTTTCACTAGGATGTTTTTTTTTAATCATTAAAAATGATTCCTTAAAATAGAAACAAAAACAAAAATAAAATGGCCTAAAAACAGGAGTACTTTTGCAGAAATGTATTGTCATTGGTGATGCAATGCCTGTTCTACACCATAGGGCAGCATGATGCTCTCTGAATGGAAGATTTCTAGGGGCAAATATCAGTTGTTGCACACAACCACAGCCAATGCAGAGGATGTTGGTGGTTATTTTTCCTCCTGAACTGTAGGAAAAACAAAAAGGTTCCAGTGTACTCTGCCAATAGCCTAGTACAGCTCAGGAAGGCTGTACCACACCACTGACTTACTGTAAACAAGGCTCAGGGCAAGCCCCGCTGACAGACTGCATACACGTCACTCGTTTAAATAGGCAGCTGTCGCTTGCTTGTTACCAGAAATGATAGCTTCACATTCTGATCTGCCCACTACTAGATTAAGAGCATTTTCATTGAAGAAAAAATAAGCAGAAAAACCACAGTTCTGACAGGAAACGTGTCACCGATAGGGAAAAAACAGACTGGGTTCTTCCTGTTTATCATGTGCAGTGGTGAAACCGAAACCACAGACTATAGTGAACAGACAAGTGCTGGTCCATAATATGAAAAGGCACTACTTTCCCAGCTTCTTAACGGAAGACCTGTATCCACTTTTCTACACGGATAGGGACGATATGCAGTGCCGTTTCCAGCAAAAGATTAGATTGGCTCTAGAGTGGCCTGTTCAGAGATCATTTGACAACGATACGATAGCATAAATTCAGGGCAGTCCTTCAGAATGGAAGATAGTGCTAAGTGGCAGGTCAGAAGTGCTGAACCTTTTTGGTCTCTAACAGTGAAGAACTGAAGGGTCTGTGATCCAAGTGTTCAGAATCCTCACAGGCACTGATGAAGTCAACCCAACGGACATCTTCGGTAGCAACAAGATACTTCAGTGAAACAAGAACTAGAGGTCATACGTGGAAACTACACAGAAGTGCTTTTACACTTGAGAAGAAGAGACACTTCTTGACCTAAAGGATTGTGGTAGTATGTAAAAGGCTATGCGGCCATGTTGTTGAACCCGATACACTGGCTTCTTTCAAAAAGCTGCTAGATGAGATCCCCTGAGCAAGTATCTGCTAACTGGGCTCCTCTGGTTTGTTACCTTTCTTATGTTCTGAAGCTGAATGGCACAGGCAAGGAGAAATCTGAAAAGGGGTTTAAAAAGATAACATTGAAGTTAACGTGTAAAAGCAGGCCTATTTCTTTGGGTAAAAGACAAGGTTTATCAGTGGTGCTCGGGCAAGGAATAACTCATAAAGAAGAACTAGTGGAATATCAGGTATATAAGATATGGTATTTAAAGCATAGGGAATAGGTGGGATATAGCACTACAGAAAAACTATGATATTCCATGGCTAAAATAACTGGCAAAGCTCTCTTTTGTTATTCATTTTATGTGTCCATTGACTAACATCAATTTTGTTCAGATCAGTCCTATATGCCCTCCATTAGTCTTTCCAAAATTCATGTAAAATACTGATACATTTTGTGTTTGTTCTAAAGTCAATCTCTGATCTGATCTTAATGTTGACTGAAAGCTACTGAAATAATTTGGAGGATTTGTCTGTCCCTTCTCTGCAACAGGGACATGTAAAATTGGTTGTGTGGATTTCAGCACACAGTATCTATCAGTACAGCACAGTACAGTTAGCAGTTTTTCCTTTGGAGTAGCATGACTGTGGAGCTGTCCCTTTGCCTGGCACATGAGGATAGAGCAGAAAGCAGACCTCACAGAAGGCCTGCTGATGTTATTCGATGGTCGAAGGCCATATGGTCTCAGTAAGCATGAAAGCTTTTTAGCTAGTAACAGTAAAACAGAACTTTTACATTTTTTAGCAGCTTATGAAAGTGCAAGGATGCTTGAATCCATGCTAACATAACAGGTTCGTAGGCAGTGGTAACCATAACTGAAAATAGCTAGAACTAAACAGCCCATCTGTTGCTTTCTGGGTCTTTAAGCAATAGGATAAGCCTTTCGCATAGCTTTAACATTCTTGTTGCAACATTGTTGTTGAAATCACCAGTGATCTCTGTCACTGGTGGGGATGGTGTGTACCTGGTAAACTGGCAATGAATGTCTGCCTCCCTGTAAGATAAACTTTTCTCGGTCCTCCCAGGAATGTCATCTGCTGTGTCTGACAGCCTGCAGGAGGCTTGAAGAGATGCTGAAGGTTTAGATCAGATGGTCAAAAAGACCCACTGTTTTATACACTCATGTAGTATTTCTGTTCCCTGAAGCAGACTGCAGAAAGGACACATTGTGAGCATCACCTTGCTGTAATACTCTTTAAATTGTAATTTAGGAGGGACACAGCTATGTACATGATGCTTCCCTCATCTCTGGGTGTGACTGGTGACTTAAAGAAGGTATTGCAGGCTCGAGGCAAAAGCTCATAGGAAGAGGTTATTTGAATACAGCTTCTATGTTTAACACAAGTAATTTAACAAGATAAAAACTCTAACTTTTTTAAGCCATGCTAAACTGCAGTAGCAGAAACAAATGGAACACCTTTCAGTCTTTACTTTAAGGTAGCAGTGCATTGTTCAAGTAAAAGATTATTTCCCTGAACCAATTTCTTAACTGTAGATATCTGTTTTTAAGTCAATTAAGGCAATAACTCACATTGGGTTACTGGTTTCCCTTCCAAGAGTTTCGTGTCAATTAAAGAACGGAGACGCTCATTTCCCTTCAGTACAGTTAGTATTAATTCTAATCAGGCCTACACCAGAAGTAGTTCTTTCTGCGTAATTCATTTTCTTCCTTGTGAAAGTTGATGACTAAGAACTATACAGCAGCAAAATTGTGCGCCTCGTCAATGAACAGCCACAACAGTTTTAAATGAAAGTCAACAGGCGGCAATTAAAACTGAGCACAACCATTGTCACTGGCCTGGCTAGGCAATATTACTGCTGTGTGCACTATACTTACCAGAAGCACAGTACAGTACAATTTTCCCATCCTCTCAAGGAAGTTACAGAGCTCATCCACATACAGCTAACTGCTGCTGCAGCTCTTCACTAGTCTTTTCTGAATTCACATATCATTCATCAGCTTCCTGTTCTCTAACGTCCACAGGTCAGCAACATTTACATAGTCAGCCAAAAGCTACAATTTTAAATGATCCTAAACAAAAATACTGTATATGTTTGCTTATTTCAGAGCAGCCCTTGTTTTTCATACGCCTTCTCAGAATTGATGTCTTCTACCTCCGGCTTGTGCTTCGTGATGAGCTCATCTGCACTTGATTAATTAATGCAAAAGTCTGTTGAATAAGTAAAGAATATCTGTTCCCAGTTCAGAACACAACAGGAGCTGTCAGAATGATGCATCGCAGCATGGTGTCTTACACTCCTAGCTTTTGCCGAGATGTTCCCATAGGCCCTTTCCGATTTGCCCACTTTGTAAGTTTTACTGGGCAGTCTGTCTGATCAAGGTTAATTCTCTCTTTAGTATTTTGGGGAAGAGTTACATGACATAGTCAGAAATCCAGTGTAAAGCTCAGCAGACCTAATCTTCTTCCAACCCTGAAGTAACGACTTCTGCCAATGAGTGATGGTCTTCTGTACCATCTCCCCACAATGTGCACAAACCCCATTGTGGTTCCCGAGTGTGTATACCAGGATGGACCCTACCTCTTTACTCCGACCTATATAAAAGATGCCTAGTGACGTGTGCCACAGACTACACATGAGGGTGATCTGCACGCATATTCACATGTGTTCATGCATGGTTTCAGAAGATACATGTACTCATAGATTATGCATTCACAAGGTAAGTTCTGAATATTATGACCGAGTCGCTGTGGTGTTTCGTACATCCCTCGGGACCCGAAGGCTGTGTGGATTGTTTCACCCACCCTAGGTTGGACTTGCAGTAACATGTTATCACTCTGAGGTGCTGGGAAGACTGACCAGATGTGGGCTGCAGTTAAGGAGCTATTCACTTAAATTCCTCACCAGATGCAAGCTGTCTGCTTTCTGTGTCTGTCTCATCCTGCTCTTTTGAGCTGCAATCCGATTCTTCTCCCTCCTGATCACCTTCTTCACATCGTCGGAGGAGTCCTGCAGGACAGAGTCAAAGATGAAAGATCCCCTGAGGGAGCTGAATCTTAAAGTGAAGAACGGAATGAAATCAAGTGCATCTTGTCGCTGATCTGTGATGTGTTGCTGTTGAAAGCTGACATGCGGACACCCTGCATTATCTTTGACAAAATTGCTTAAAGTCAATAGCAGCTTAAACATACCCAAGCTAAAATAGATCCTACAACACTTATTTCTATGATCAGAACCCTACTTTTTTCTCATTTCTGTATTAATCTTAAAAAGATATTTAAAACTTTTGGCTATACATGCCACAAAACATGGTGACTATGCATTGGAGGGAAAGTGCAGAAGGCTGTTTTCACAACCTGTCTTGTGCAGCCTTACACTGAAAAAGGCATCTAGCCACCTCAAAAGATCTGATCTGGACAGACTGTGTTTCTTAGAAAGAAAATACAGTGCTGTATTTCCACCATACATGCTGAGAGAAGAAAATGGGATTTCTGTATAACACTGAGTCAACTGTATGAAAGAGAAAACACTTATCAGATTATGTTGAGTGCCTGAAAGCAGTTAATGAGTAATACACCAGTCGTTGGAATGAGGCTGAGTGAAAGAAAGACAAAGAGAAATTTAACTAAAGCCTTGTGTGAGCTTATTTAGACACTCATATATAAATATGGGGAAGATTAGAATAGCTCAGGCCTCATGCAAAGTGAAGCACTTGGGGTTGTTAAAATGATTCCCCTCTACTAACAGGCTATCTGAAGAACCCCAGGAGTCTTCCAGGCAATGTAGAATGTACTGCTCATCACCCACTGCTAGGACAGGACCAGTGATTGTAGGAGCCCTCTAGACCTCCAGAACAAGCTCCATCCTTCCAGAAAAAAGCCACCAGAAATAAAGGAACAACACAGAAAGGGTCAAGTGGTGCCAAGATAAGAAAATCTGCAGAGTGGAGAACTGTAGGAAAGACTGGGTTAAGAAATGTAAAGATGGGTAAGTTTAATTCACTAAAAGAAAATTTAATAATTTATAATAGAGGATGTGTGCACCCAGTTGATATTGTTATCTCTGCTGATGCTTAGTTCACTAACATACTGTTGCTAAGATGCTTTTTCACAACCTCTTCATGATAAAACATACTGTTCAGATTTGCTACCTGTAAAATTCAAACAGTCTTTTTTATCATGAAGAGGCTGAACAGAAGAGATGTGATAGCATGCAACTTAAAAAGATGCAGATACAGGACACTTTAAAACGAAAAAGGATACCCCCTGCCTGTAGCTGTAAAGTTTCTTTTTACTTTTCAGTATGGGAGTAACACCTATTTCTATATATTATTGTTACTGTTTTTTAGAGTAATCATGTTTTGACACTGCTACCCATGGAGTAATTTAACAAAGTCCTTTCAGGCTTGACAGAAGGCATAAAAATATTTCACTGGTTCCTTTGTCTGCACATTTCCACTTCATCAACATGTAAAAATTTTAAATAATCACCATTAAATCAGGTTTGTTATTAGGTCTCAGCTGCTTTGACTACATCAATTAAAAACTGGCTGAAGGTGGGTTGTATTGAGGTCACAGTTTTGCAGTGTTCTGTTTCCAGTACCAATCCAGAGTTCAACCTTCTATGTCAGTGATCGGTTATTCACTGAGAGCGTGTGCACATGTGTTTTGCGCAGCTCTGTGGTAGCAGCTAATGATGAGGGGATTTTACCAGTTCATCAGTATTTCCTCAGAACACACCCTGTTTCATGTCCTGAAAGCTACAGTTTTAAAGGTATCAAAATGAATAAACTTGAGTTTCTTCTCACAAAAGGTGCTTGCTCTGTGGCATTTTGTCTTCTTTCATAGATTAGTGAGAAACATTTACTCCATCCAGATGTGATCCACATAACTCGATCACCGACTGCAACTTTAAAAAAGACATGCCCTCCACACACACAGTGACAGAAGTGAATTAAGTAATGCAGTGTTTTTACAGTGGCTGTTGAACGTATTGCATTCAAGTTAACATAACAGCCCCCTTAAGACAGGGGAAAGTCCAGGCAAAGGGAAAATCTGTACGAACTATGTTGCATCTTGAAGTGCAATGTGGCGATACCCAAGGAAGTTACATTCTAATTAACTCCATGTCTAATATCATGTCCTAGAGGCCTCTATAACTTTGTTCGTTCATCTCTTCCCACACACTGGATTAACTCTTCACCAATCACAAACACACAAGCATCCTTTTTCATACCCCTGAACACCACTTTTTGCAAGTGCAACACACTTAAAGTGACATATCACTGTTGCATCTATAAAACTTGACTGAGGTTTACTCAGCAGCATTAATAACTTATCAGTCAGTTGCCGACATTGGAGTTGACGCTACGACAGAGAAGCATTCTCTTCCTTAAAAGGGTTAAAGTCACATATGCTCTCTGGGTGTTCAACCTTGAGAGCGGACATCCTGCACACAGTTGACTGGCACACATACTAACACAGGCTGCCAGTGCCTGATCACCACACGTGTTGAAAGGACTGTAAAACTTAGAGGGGGATGTCTGGCTGTCTTTGCTACAGCATTGTGTTGAACCTGTCTCAGAAAACAGAAACACTACCGGGATGAAGAAAACCTTAAGTGTGGCTGAAATACGTCATTCACGAGGAAGATACAGAAAGAATGTTTCTTTTAGACTTTCAAAATTGTTCCAACACAAGTTTATTGTGCATGGATACACACAGAGCATCTGCATAATAGAGACCATCTTAAATTCTGAGTTAGTATCTTGAGGGAACTGTTCTCCTGTAGCCCCTTGCACAGCTGTTTACCTTCATCTATGCTGGTGAAAGCTCTGGCTACGATATGTTTGCTAGCAATAATAGAAATAAAAGAGTGTTCTTTACCTGCTTGCTGCCTGGTGACGGTGATCTGGTGAAACTTGTGTCATTACTGTCAGAACCCTGTGCCATAGCAGACTATGTCTCTGAAAGCTCACAGAACTCTCCACTTCTGCTTTCTCTGTGTCTGTGTGTGCACTGAACTGCTCCCGTCCGCCTCACTTTGCCTTCTGTACTTAATGAATAATTCTCTCGCTCTCTCTCGCTCTCTCTCTCCCTCTCCCTCTCCCTCTGTTACACTTCTGTGCCTCTGTGAGACTTTATCTCAGTTGTCTTCGCTGTGTCTGATGTGGTTTCTGGTAAGATCGATGTAAGTGACTCGCAACTGGAAGTCACATGACATGGAAACTTTTAACAAAAACATTCAGGAATACAAAGTTGCCTCAAAACCCCAGAAAAAGCCCACTTACTCTCTCTGCCTAGGTGAAAGTATGAAGATCATTTTCACAATGTAAGAAGTTGTTTACACAGACAAAGCATACCATATATAAACCAATTAAAAAACAACACTATTATTATGATGAGCACTAATGATATTAGAGCTGATTCTCAGGAAATTCAGTTAGATGTGAACAGAGTTGCAGATGTAAGTTTGGGACCCTAATGCTAGAATTAGATGATCTGTGAAATCTCAGATACTGATGACTGACAAAGAAGTACTGTACTAACTTAATAAATGACTTTGCCTCAGATATTTTATGACAATGTTCTGTATGTCTAGATATCAATAATCTGACTTAGCAAATGGTGTAAATGTGCTTTTTTCAGACACAGGTGTGCCTTAAGATAATGCGTTTTACACAACTCTAGCCTAACAGACTACCGTAAATTCATTGTTACCAGATGAAGTCTCTTTTTTTGCATTTGAAGGTTTTTTTTTTTAAGGCTTCGGGGATTTGTCTTGTGTAACACATAGCTAACATGTCGCGTTAACACCTGCTAGCAATGGGCAAGGCTTGAGGTGCAGTTTCTTATCCCAGATGTGAAGATGTGGGGGAGGGAAAACTCAAGGGGCTCTCCACTACCAAAAGTCCTTGCTTTTTACTTACGGTATTTTTACATAATGCTTAATCAAATAAAATGACTACAGTTCATTAGTCAAGCCTCATGTCAGTTACAAGAAATGACACGAAGCTTTTAACAAACTGCTAAGGAGGAAGACTGCTTGGGCTACATTAAGAAAATACTTACTAACACAGTGTGTCCGCATCTCTTTATTTCCTAATCAGAAAGCAGTGCGTTGAACTCCTAAACTGTCTTTCAGGATGCTAGTCTTATAGGTAGGTAAAACATTTCTTTTGGATTTCCGTTTGAGTTTTATGAAGAGAAACGTTTTGATGCAAAACAATGATATAATGCAAATGAGTTACAGTAAGTGTTTACTTACAGACAAACTGAATGACAAAATAAAAAAATAGGTATTTTTTTAAAATTGAGCACATGATAAAATTGCACAGTGAATTAACAATACCTCATTTAAGAATATTGTGTACAAGTCTGTTTCACCACATTAAAACAAAATACCGTCACTCCAGAATCTGTCCAAAAGAGCAACCAGATACTTTCTGGGGATCAAAAGAACTTCCTACATTGTCAGACTACACTTATCAATCTTTTAATGTTAAATAGAGAAGATTAGGATTTGACTTTGACAATTAAAATCCCAGAAGGCACTGACAAATTTGCCCAGTGGAGTGCTTCAAACTCATCAATGATACATGAACCACCGGCTACAAATGGCAACTGCACACTTCGACAAGTGAGAAGAGGAGGCTCTTCTTTGCACAAAGAGTGGTAAGAGCATGGAACAACCTACCCCAGCCCTGTTGCTGAGGATGATGCCTTTGTTTCTTTCATTGGCTAGAGGAAATCCTCAGATCAATTATCTATGAACAGGTTAAATGGGCCAAATGGCATACTTTCTTACAGTATGTCCTCATGAACGTAGCCTGTCATCATCTTAACTTCTCAGATAAAAGCTCTGTAACCCCCTTGCTGGGATTTTAGTTTTCACCAGGGACAATTATGACAGAATCACTCTGCTGTTTCATGATCATGTTTTCTTGGGGAGTGACCTGAAAGTTAATGAATCACTATTTCAGATTATTTAAGGAATAAATTGAAACTCAATGAGTGTACTGCCATTAACTGAACCTCCATAACATACACTAGACTAATATTGATGGTAAAAAAGGAAGTCTAAGTAAGTTTTAATAAGTCTTTTAAGCTGATTATTATTATTATTATTATTATTATTATTATTATTATTATTATTATTATTATTATTATATTGGTATACAAGTCTTGTTTGTGTCTCATGATTTTCTTGTGCAACAGAAAAAATAATTCTGCTTCACAGGACTCCCACACACAAAAACATGTTCTTCTGGCTACTTTCTGACAAGGAATTTTAAAGAGCTTTGAATTATAAAGGGGGAGGACAGCAGCGATTTTATATAATGTGCTTTATTCCACCAGAAAGTATTTGTACAAGCTGAAGCTAATGTGTTATGTGTGTTTTAATAAACACTGCGGTAGTTTACAGAAGAATTGCCGTCAATATCCATGTAACTGAGGGTTCCGCAGTGGAGGTATGTCAAGCTTCTTTTTCAGATGCCCTCACAGAAAAAGTCCCTAGACCAGAGTTCCTAGGAAACTTCAGTGGGAGGCTTTTGCGTATCACAGTCTGATCTTTAGGTCAATGCAGCGATGTCTGCTTTTCAGGCACTGAAACAAATAATCAGAATGAAAACATGGAGATAATGTTTATGTGAACAGCTTTAATGTTAAAAGCATTATTCGTATCTGATACAAAGTTATGCTGGTTCATGTGTGGGTCTGACTGGGTACGTCAAGTCATTTCAATAGCTGTTCAGCATCTTTGCTGAAACCCTTGTGCAAAACACACTTTTTTATATCTTTCAGGGAATGAGCTAGAGTCATAGCCGCCTAGAACATGCTTGCCATGTTAATGTCATCCATTATGTTACTTGCGCCCCAGGTCTCACTTGACATCTTTCTCACGTTCTTTAACCAAAACCTGCCACGTAGAATTGTGGATTTAATAAAGACGTGTTCTGTGTTCATGGGGTAGGTAAAACCTTCATCCATTTCATTTCTCTTTCACTTAACATGCAACATTCACCAGTTTGGCTTTTGTTTGCTCCAGTACAGCTCGATGATTAGGCCTCAACTCGCACGTGTCCTGTAGTAGCTTTATTGTGGCTGCCTGGTCTGCCTCCAATGTTTATACTGCGACTGCATTTGCTGCCCGAGTTAAAGCTATTCTGTGAGCCTAAGGTTTTATCAGACGGTTGCAATTATGGTTTTTGACCATCGTCCCATGAACAAATTCTCCTGCTGCATTCTCTCTGGGTAGGCTCAGTTGCAAAACTGTGGATATAATGCACCCCGACTGGCGTCGCTCATATCTGTTCCTTAGCTTCTTGTGTCATGCACGCATGCATTTCGAGCTCAGAAACTGTCCACTGAGATCTGCGCTTATGCACACGTGCTTCTGTACACATGCAACACGTACTCAAACACTGAAGCGCTTTGAATGAGAAACCCACTTTATTTTGGAACCAAGAAAAAAAACTATGAAACCCCTTCTTTAAGACGGGAACTCGCGTTTGTGTTTATTACAAAGGGCGAGGACATAGATGGAAAATGGTTTTGAGTTTGTCATTTCTGGAAAATCTCTACCACGGACTCAACCGCAGGTAAAACGCACGGTAAGACGATGCACGACTCTGCGAATCTGTGCACCGTCCTTTGCATGAGAAAAGATCTTTAAAAAAAAAAAGACATTGTTTTAACCAAAACATTCGCCCGCACACGCTGTTCTCACACCCACTGAGCAACATTCGAGGAATACGACTGGAGACTGTGGCTGATCCCATCTATTCCAGAACTACACAAAACAGCTTCTAGCTAAACGGGAGAGACACCCGGGTATCTAGCACTGGTAATGAAATGGATGCAAGCAAGCAATTGGGTTCTAGATACAGACTTTAATTGTCTGCTCAAATACCGTCTAAAATGGAAAACAAAGTCGCCGCGTAGATGGTGCTTACTGGCTGGCTAGCTGCCCTTGTACAGTACATTCTTTGTGTCTCAATATCGCTTCTGTGCAAAGAAATGTTCGCAACACGCCGCAAAAACACTGAAATAGAATCTTCTCACGCGTAGTTTGTTGAAATGTTTTGAAGTTCCTAATCCTCCCCATGAGTGTCTTCGCTAGGCGTGCGACTGTACCTCCTGCGGTCTTCACCTGGAAGACAATCGATTACCGTAAGCGCACGGTCTTCAGTTTCAAATTTTTGACGAACCCCACATAACATGCTAACTAGGAATCTACGCTAAAACGTAAGAAAAGCTTATGCTCCCCTCCCCCTCTCTGGAGAAAACTATGTGTCACCCAAAATTCCTAAGTCTGTAGGTAGGAGTCAGAAAGCTCACTCTCTCAATCACACCGAAAAGCTATGCAAATCTCTTCAAACCGTGAGGCTTGCACTTCATCACTGAGCTGCAAAGCCATTCCCAGGCTCCGAGGATACATCAACTGCCAGAACGACAAGGCAGGCAAAGCTAAGGCCTTTGTAACCTTCACCAGTAGCAATTTTTTTCATTTTGGTATCATCAAAGTGCAACGCTGAGATGTCAGAGCAATGAGATGTACAGGTTTGCTTTGTAGTTATAAAGCTGAGCTCTTATCAGGACCCCCTGAACCCTGAGGGCTCCTGACATGAGATCCCAGGATCCCCAGATCTGTTCGGAGCCTCCCAGAGAACCTGTAAGCCTCTGACAGCAGAACAGCGGGAAACAAAAACGACATTGAACATGTCATGATCAATTCCGTTTGAGTGTTAGAAACCACCTCCAAATAATGATTGTTTGGAACCTTTCTTATGTTTTATCTGTCACTCTCTATTAAGAAGTGCAGATTTTTTACAACAGAAATAGTGCACTGCAGGCAGTATCCGTGGTTAGTAATGGCTAGCAGACAGCTCCCCCAGCTTGAGGAATCTGAGGAAATAAAAAGAAGAATCCTGTGTTCTGATCACTGGCATGCTTGCTGTTACGTACTGGAGTAGCCCACACCGCCATTAACCAAACGGATCTGAATTGACGGTAGTTCTATTTTTATAGCAAACTATCACTGTCAACACTTCCTTCCTTCCTATCTGCTGCTTTCCTTCCAGAAGCACCTAGACAAAATAACTTCCTTTCAGTGTGCATAGCGTCCT